CGGCTGATGAACGCAATGGCACCCTTGAGCTCTCGGGGGTAGTCTGCCGCGTCACAGCCCAGACGTGAGACGAGCACCAGCGGTCCGTACACCGGTTCGTGGTTCTTGGTGGGGGGTGTCAAGCCCATGGGGAGAGCAGACTCTGGCACGGTGTGGCCTAGCACCAACCGTGATTCCACCACATTGCCGGTAACTGCAGGGAAGCTCTGGTTGAATATGGTGTAGTAGTCGTCGAAATCCGTCAGAGTCGCATAGATGTAGTCCAGCGTCCCCAGATGGCCTGTGGTCACGTGAGTACTCGCCTTGCGATACGCGACGCCAAACAAATTCAAACGAACCTTTACTGCCAATCACTCGTGTGGGATGATTATACTCGTCAGACCCGAGTTCTGCGATGCTATACAGGTGCTTGGCTCTGTTGAGTAGCCTGCCGACATCGATCTGGCTTTGCAGCGCGGAGGAGCTGATCAACTCCTTCCCAGCCACCGGAATTTGGGGTTCCGAGGCACCGAAGAGAGGGAACTGAAGAGCGGCAACTTCTCCTGTGAGAGCAAGAGCGGTGGCCAAAAGGTGTATTGGTGATGCTACCATTCTGGACATCAGAAGTGGTGTACGGAGTAGTGTGCAATTGTCAAGAGCAAGGTCATGCTGAAGGGGTAGGAATCGGAATCATGGTGGTCAGGCGTCAAGCATCTTGTGTGGGGCATTGCTGGCAAAGGGAGTCCAATCACTGATAAGTGTCGCTACAGCAACAGTTGAGATGAACAGATACGGAGTACGGAGTAGATTGATCAACCATCTTAGACTCTCAGTCGCTCGTGCTATCTGTGAAAGGTTAGTCTACCTTAGATACCTGAGGCTCTCGTTGGTACCCAAGGTATCCAATAAGACACCCAGGGAATTACCGGGGATTACTAATCTGCTCTATTTGGTAAAAAATAAGGCTTCGATGCGTACCTACCGGTCACTATACAAGCAATACCACATTGATACTCCTATCTTAGAGATTTTGGGTCACCGGGTTTTGGATGTAGGGAGACTGTGGCCTAGCAGCCCTTCCAACTCTGCGAGTCTCTCAGACATCCTCGACACTATCTACCTACCAACCTCCCATCACTCCTCTGCAGCCTGCACGGCTACATCCTCCAAAGATATCCATATAGTCTGCACCACTCCGTTCCGGCTTTTAGAATACATATGACTCCTTCGCTGTCTCCTGGCTCGCGCCGAACAAGCATTTCCTGGTTGAACCACTGTTTGCCGTGTTCCGGCAGGCCGAAGATAACCAGCCGGGTGACCTGGAACTTGCATTTTCTCTGTCTATGTCATTCTCTGTATACGTAGAGGGCACGTTTATTAGACAAACGCTATTGGTCATGGCAGCTTCCAGGGATAGAGGTCAATCAAAGACCGTACGAACGAAACATCTATCGGGTATCATCATATGGCTGGACTACTACAGATGGTACGAGCGAGTGTTCTCGACCTGAACTCCCAACCTCTCCCACCAGCCTTCTACTCCCATATCTACTTGGCCACTATACATATCGATCAGTATCATATGCCGCAACAGTGATGAATGCAACTTACTCGGTCTTCTCGTTTATCCAAGGTTCAGTCTGTCCTTCTGCCATGTTCGGATTGCGGAATATGACATTCGATTTCTGGCGCCAGTGAGCTTCAGCCAGGCCGTCATTATTTTTGAGTTTGGAACTTACCATGCCAAGGGTGAGGTGAATGGCTGCAGGCGGCGGTACATACTCTTCCTCCGCCCTCCGTCCTTCAATCAACGCTTGGATATTCCTGGCGACCACGCCGGCCTGCACGGAACCTGGCCGAGCGGCCTTTTGCGCACCAGTGTCGGCAATGTCACCCACGGCAAAGATGTTTGGAAAGCATTCATCCTGTAGTTGCAAAGTAGGCCGAACTCGAATAAACCCATTATCCGGATTGATCAACGATCCAGATCTTGAAGAGGTCAAACTGGTCAAAAGGTCATTATTAGGCCGTTGGCCCGTTGCGAGGATGACGAATTCCGTCGAAACCTTGCTGCCGTTGGTCAACTGCACATCAAATGGCTTTCCATCGGTAGGGAATCCTTCTGAAGGTACGCTCGCGCGAGCGCCGACAATAAGTCTACAGAAATTGACTCGTCAGTCGAAGTTCAGTGCTGGGTAAGACGATCACGTATACATACCGGACCCCTAGCTCGTCGAATCGCTTTTTGATCAGCTCATGCAACTGCTCATGGAATAGAGGCATGACTCGTGCCCGAGACTGTACAAGAGTGACGTCTTTATGGGGATAGTACTCCCTCAGGTCGGTCGCCATCTGCACCCCGACAGCACCTCCACCGACAATCAGGATTGACTTGGCCCGCTTGATATCGGCCTGGTGGTTTCGCAAGTACTCGACGGAGGACACCTTGTCATCACTTTTCATGCCCGCCGGCTGAGCGAGCCGAGTTCCAGTGGCAATTGCTAGATAATCATAGGGGATCTGTTTGGAATCCTGCCACTGGCGATCCAACGTCACCGATCGTGGGTTTACCGAAAGTACTCTCGCTTGGACCACTGCATGTGTAGATGGACGGGGAACAGAGGAGAAGATTCCAGTGTACGGGATGAAAGCTTTATGTTCATGACCTGGTACAATGGCAAAACGTGGCTGAGGTGAACAGATTAGCGACATTGTGATACGGAGGAAGAAACCTTACAAAAGCAAACAGATGGTGAAAATGGCTATGCGGTTCAATCAGAAGGACCTGCAGGAATTAACATGCGTATCCAGGCCGTGATGGAGTATAAATACCCGATGTGTTTCTGGAATGACTCGTGCGAGTTCCTGAGCAGTGGCCTTATTCAACTTGTCAGTATGAGATTCATTCTACGTCTTGGTGAAGGACGTACTCTTCCCACATAGGACCCTCCCACCACAATGATATTCTTCAAAGGTGCTGCCATGTCGACCTGATGTTCTTTTAAACTTTTGTATTGGTGTCTAAAGTAGAGAATGAAGAGAATGAGAATATGCACCCCGACCCTGGGGATGTGCATTTATATATCGGCATTGGAGGATCGGATACACACCCGGACCAACAGTACTGATTGATAAGAGTTATCAGATCATCCTTTCCAGTCCGGCAAGTGTCAGTCCCGAGCATCATATCTCCGAGCTTTATGTTGTCCTATCTCCATTAAGCATGAAGCCCGAATACACCGAGCCGGACGCTTAAGATCTTATCCGGTAAGCCACAGTTAACAGCTATTGCCGTGGTCACATTCGTGAGAAGTTTCATGATTAAGATTCTAAAGCCATGCGATGTGAATTCCATCGTGCATGGTTTTGCTATCGATGTGATTTCTGCCTAATGTGCTTCTTGTAAGCTGCACCCTCAGTGTGACCTATATATGAAAGTTGTCGCCTATCGATGCTAACTTTGAACTGAGCAGCCTGACTGTCATGGTATTATATAATGCCTTACTACTTGGCATCAGTCTCCGTTGTGTCGCAAGTGCCAGGCTAGACAGGATTGTACCACGCGTCTGACTCCGGCCACATTTTCAATATGACTCACTTCAAGTCACCCTGCTCTGCCATTATTTATGTATACAGTAGTTCCGTTCCCAGTATTGGCATGTTATGTCTGCACAATATTCCAAACTGTCTACGATATGTCCACGCTTCAGATATCCGAGGACAATCCATTCCAGACTTTGCTTACCGAGACGAATAACGATGCGGTGAGTAATATTCAAAGGTTCTGGTGAGAGACTATGTTAAGCCTCTCTATCAGGCTCAGTTGCAGTCCCGCTACGAGAACCACCGAGTAAGTCGAAATGCACGGCAAGCTGCGAAGATCCTGGCACCAGACTTCGCAGGCTGGAATCTCGACGACATTTTAATGCGCCTTGACGGTCCTACAAAGGAAGAAAAATTTGTTGATCCGCGCAACTGCCTGGTCATTTGGGCCCGGCCACCTTCTCCAATTCGCGATCTTGTAAAGTTCGTGCAAAGCGAACTCAGACGCGTTGCTCCGAGTAAGTTCTTAGAATTCACAACCCTTCATCCCGCTCAGCGGACAAGCCGCTCACCATGTTCTGACAGCCCTCTGGTTCATGCCCTCCGAAAATCTACATACAACAGTACTGGAAATCGCCCATTCTTTGACCGAAGAGCAGATTGAGGGTCTCGTAAATACTCTGCAGTCGTCACAGAACATAACCAGTGCAGATATTGCAGACTATGCGTTCACCCATCGAACGCGCCTTGTAAAGCCTATGGTGGGCTTTGATTCTGCAGCCATGGCACTGACCTTTGTCCCAGCCGCTGGAGAAGCTTCAGATGTGCAACGCAGTATCGACGACGAGACCTACAGTTATCATCATCTTCGTCGTGATATATTTGACATGGTCCGCGCGGCTGGTATCCCGATTGCCTCGCGGTACATTGTTCCTTCAGCCCATCTCACCATTGCTCGGTTCGTCACTCAGGACGGCTTCGTCAGACAAGATGCAGTGGGAGAGGAACATGTTAACCCCTCCAAGGTCAAAGAACTGATTGATAACATTGATGAAATTAACCAGAAGCTGCAGGACGAATATTGGCCTAGTGAGAATGGAGCAATCAAGGCCGGCGGAGAGTGGCTGGTTGGCCAGGAAACGGGCTTGGTCATTCGCAAGGGTCGTCTGTGGTATGGTGGTGGCGATGATGTACAGCTTGGAAAGGGCTATTGAGCCTGAATTAGTATTGATGGCTTTCTGAGGATAGTCATAAACACCATCCTGGACGGAAATGGACTGAATATACTTCTGTATCTCTGTTCTATGATATTAAGTTACTACACTCGGAGTTTTATGAAAACCGATTCAATTCAGGTCGTATAAAGAGAGACTGGCTATCATCGAGATAATAATGGAATTGCGTCCTGTTACTGTGGCCTATCTGATAACTTGGAAAGGTATCATTCAATACTCCTCGAATTCTCCAATCCATACTTGCTATACTCCCGCCCAGTGTCCAGTCTGTTGGATCCTGTCCACTGCCTTCCTGAGATCTTCCATGTATTGCCTATGTAGTGTCTGCCGCAGGTGTTGCGGTATACTGGGGTATGCAATGCGCATGACACGAACAGTGGCCTGAAACTGGATCCGACTCAACACTGTCGGTTGCAGATCGTACTCCTTGGCCAGTCGTTCTGGGAGGAAATGGATAGTCAAAAGGCGCGACAATGGGGCCATGACTCTCATCCACATAGGGAGATGGACCGGATAGAGGAGATCGCGACTCAGTTTCCGTGCCATATCGGTGACCTCCAATGTCTCGATGTTGTGGTTCCAGTACTCCCAGAACTCGTCAAGAGTGGCTGGCCACATATCGGGAGGCATCCGCAGGGAAGTGCCAAATACCGCAGATTCTCGGTAAAGTGCTTCCATCTTGTCTCGGGGCAACTCCCCGAAGAAGGTTTCGTGGACGACTACAATAGCGACGAACAGGGTAGCGGCGGTCCATTTGTGCAGCTCCGGGTCATTTGCGTCGTAGTCCTCTGCCTTGACTCGGGCATGATAGCGGTGGATGATGGAGAAGATAGCTGCCTTGTCCTGCTGAGTGCCAAAGATGGCCGCATTGAGGAAACGGGCGGTATTCTGGAGACGGTTGGGAATGCGAGTGGCGAAGCTGGAGTGGTTGTAGCTGCCCTTGGCCAGGGCAGGATGGGCAAACTGACAAAGGATAGCGAACTGGCCTCCGAGGAGATAGATATCTTCCGTCAGGAACGTCCTGAGATTTATGGGGTCCGCAATGGTGTCGTAGATGGGTCCAGATTCGTACGCCTTCGCTACCTCTGTGAGCTGAGCAGCTCCCTCCTGAACAAAAGCCATGTCTCGTCCCAGGAAATGTGCCTGACTCTGTAGTGACTCAACGGCACGATGTTGCTGTGTGATATTTTATAGGGCATGAAAGAGATGGCCGGACCGAGGAACGGAATCCGGGATATGTATAGAGAGGTACAGTGCATCTGATCATACACAGGAGATTTGCTCAGCCCCTGAAAAAGGGCCAAGTATGCCATTCTGGAGTCTGCCAATTATACCTGGAAAAGTTCCGGCTCGCCTCGTCTATCATTTAGTGCTCGATCTGATGAAGCGGGGTTGAGCATGTGAAAAGGCATACGAAGACTATGGAGGCGTGTCAGACGCAGAGGTCAGATGGACTTAGAATAGCAGAAGGCCCTTACCAGCAAATCGTAATTTAGCATCGATTGAATGGAGGAGGAGAGCCGTAAATGATTTGGCTCGAGGACAACCCTTGCTGCATCGTGGACGCCAGGGTTTGCGACCTGGATGAAACGCCATTTGGCGTCTTCCAGACTGCATTGCGGAGACTCTGCCAGCAGCTCATACGCATTTTATGTTGTGACATTAAGCTCACTCACAATAGCGTCCGTAGAGGTCCATGCACTGTGAGGGCTGCTGTATCGGGGAGTGAGTCATGCGAATTCATATGACAGGAATTCACCTAGCGACTTGCCAATGCAAACATTCAGACAGTGAAGTCATTTGGCAACAGACTCGGTGTAGATCTCGAAAGTAAGGTACGTATTTACTCAGCCAATCCGTGCTCACAGACGGATGTTCTACCAGGTCGCTGTATGATATGATGTTGGCTACATTCACAATGTTAGGAACTATAAATGTTCAAGTGAAATGCATCCCTGAACAACACCTGTTCTGTCCTTGCAGTTGACGTACTCGAAATGTGCCTCGCCATGTCTCAGCACTGAAACTTCGTGCCAGGTGCGGAACTTGCGCTGGTCTCCGAACTTCTTTGCATGCTTTATGGCTCCAGTATAGATGGCCAAGTGGGAGGGATGCGACTTGGCCCAATGTTCAAGGTCTGCAAGGTTACGAAAGAATCCAGCCACGCAGGACTCTTTAGTCTCACGCGTCTTCTCCAGTACCCCAGAAGAGGGCGGCCGATTGTAGAGATACCGTAGCCCCATAGCGCCACTCTTCTGGGGATTATCCCATAGATACGCCAATCCAGCACGCAGGGTAGGCTCAAGGGTCTCTTCGTACGCTTTCGTTTCGTCCTCTGCGCAGTTGGCCCAGAATTGTCCCGAGCGGATGTGGACGAGGTTGTCCGGATTCGTGCCTACTACGTGGTAATCATTTGTCTTGCGCGGTGAGGCAGTCTCCGGTGCCAACTGTGTCTTTTCAAGTCCTTCGTTCTGGGCAAACCGATCTGTGGCCGAGGCTGGGATGCGATCGCGGGCAGCCCCCCAATATGCAGTCAGTGTATGTTCTACAGTCGACACTCCGGGCAAGCGCGCCAGTCCCGGTAGATAGTCCAGGCCTGAATAGTTGGTCTCGACACGCGACAGATGGCTGGTGAATCGCTCACACCACAAGCCAACAGACTCTCGATGAGGAGCATTTAATTTCTGATGGATGTTCACAAGGCTCAAGCGTCGTATACTGTCCTCATACTTGCTCGCTTCATTCCAGTAACACACCCAAACTGTCGAGTTGGGCACATCATCTCCGTCAAGGACCTGAAATTGTTCGATCGAGGCAGGTGCAGTGGATGGATTCTCAACAATCCATCGCTGTATGCTCTCGACCGCCGCGTTAACGCTCTCAGTCAGTAACCCTTCATCGGTTTGGGCCCCACGTCGTTGCACCCCAACATATGCGGTGAAGACACAGTCCATATCAGCTGGGAACTGAGCCATCCATCTCGGAACGGGCGGTCGATGCCCTTTGGGCTGCCGAAGTGGGAAAACTCGTCTTGTGCAGCTCATCGTGATGTGCAATATAAAGTTGTGCCGTGTTGTTTCTCCAAAGATGATGGCAAACGCACAAGAAACATGGGCATTCGTGTCTGAGAGAAGAAGATGACTTGCCTCGGATAGCATCGTATAACCCCGCTTTGATCGGATGTCTCTATGTCGAACTTACCGTGTAAACATTCCTCAATAGTAATTGGTCATCCGATAATCGCAGCATTTCATTCATGTTGCCTGTTTTTATAGGTCCATGTTTGTCATTTCCTGGTCCATTCATGGCATAAATTTTCAATCGAATTCAACCACCAGAGTCTAAACACCGCCGTAATGGACAAGAAGAAAAAAGAGATGCAACTGGCTAGCAACAGAGAAGGCATTCAATTTAATGGGTCTACCTGTATCTCCTTCGACAGCCGGAATCTATTTCGATAGTGTGAGTAATACTCATCTTCTGCACACAGTAAACAAGCGCTAAAATTGTCACATATGCAGCAAGGAATATCACACCGGCTATCCGTCCCAGACCAAGGATAACCACTAGGAAGAAGCCCAAGGATGACACCCAGACAGTGATCAGATCGAACAGGACAAACGTGTCTGATTGATTCCTTGTATCACCGGCGAGTGCCACCACGCCGGCACAGAGAGTTAAGAGGAAGATATTGCTTCCTGCAGTAGTGACTGCCAGAATGTTGACATGTCCACGAGACCCGCTGACGACTGCAATCAGTTTCTCAGGCAAGGTGGTGGCGAACGACACAATGGTCAGACCAAAAACAGTTCCGGAGAGGTGCAAGGAATCGGCAATGCTCACGGCACTGTGCGACAGAAAATATCCAGCCAGTGATAGCGCGATGAGGCCGAAGAGTAGCTGGGTGACGTGATACAGAAGGCTCGTAGTCGACCGTTCTGGGATTTGGCCTGACTGAGACTCTAACAATGGAGTCGCTTCAGTCATAGAATTCACCACGCCATCGGTCGATTCTGCATCACTATCGCTGTCCGCGAGCTCAGGTGCGGCTGCAACACCTATGTAGATGGCATAGAAGATTGAGAGAACATATATGCCAAATAATGCGATCGGAAAGCTGCCGACTATTTTGTTCAGCTGGTTGAAGAGCGCCAGCAACACGAACAGCGTCGTAACTGCGAGAAGCACTGCAGCATATTTTTGGCACCCGATCAAAGTCAATTCGAGTCGGATGGAACAGTAGACCCAATGAGAACGCGCCCAGGATGTTGGAGATGCTCGAGCCCATGAGGTTGCCCAAGGCCAGGGGTGTGCGACGTTGCAGAATGGCAGCAACCACCACGGCGAGCTAATCGAATGGTCAGTTTGCATAAGAGATCAGAAATACAAAGTTGGCTTGCTTCTTCATATTCCGCCCCATCTGTCAGCAAGGCAATAATTGTCTGTGAAACCCCCAAGGAACGGCCGACGATGACGGTGTGATCAATAAATGTGTCGGCGCCATAATCAAGGACAAAGTCAGCGGCGATGAAAACGCCTATATTGAAGGTGAGGCTGTCCAAATCCAATTCACCGTAACCTGACTAGCATCTTTTTTTCTTCGATTGAGAGAGAGTAAGGATGGAAAGCTGCCGAAATAGGAGTCCATTAAAGTTTTCCGTGTGACGGGGCATGTATGCGCGAGTGATGCTACTCCTGGTAGGGTCATCCACTCATCCTTCTCTGATCATCACGATCAATTAAGCCAAAGAAACAAGGGTTGTATCGGCTGATCCACAGCAACTAGTAAACTCGATATCCAGATCGGCATTGGCTTGTGCATTCCGCGGGGAAATTGCAGAATGCGGGGTTGGTCGCATCTGTCCAACAGCATTAGCCTTCATATCCCTGTCAGATCGTATCTGCAGGTGAAGCATCCGACATGGATGCAGCTGGCGATGGTCTGGCCAGTGGACATCCCGGATGATGGCCGATTGTACGACTCTAGCACCTCAATGCCTCCCATGGCATCCAGTCGTTTATCGACCAAGACTTATGCCATCCATCACACACAAGTCAAACCTAAGGGCGGAATCACATATACGAGGGCCAAGTCATACAGAGCATTATCCGATGCGCTGAAGTTGCAGCAATGCTACGGTGCCCTGGGCTTACTGTCAGCACTCGTATTCTGCCGTGCCAAGGGAGTCTAAATATGTGATACTGTGCTCTCTGCTTTTTGTGAACTCAAAGAGAGGCCACTATACATTGCAAATTGGCCTCGCTGAAGATATTGATCAATGGAAGCCGTACTGGGCATCTCGCGACAATGACAGACATTGGCTGGCAGATACACCTTCTTAAGACTCGGCGCGGCAAAGTTCGTATATGCACGACCTTGGACTTTGGATGCAGACCGGAGTTGCTTCCTCAAGAAGCATAATGCCAGCCTTGAGTATCATTGTAAAGGATCCCTCGCATCTACCGAATCGTAGAAGGGGAGGGATAACTGTGTATAAGACGCCTTGCTCCTCTGTCTGAAAACCCAAGACAAACAGCAGATCAACTCTAATTTCGATTGCCTATTCCAGCAAAGATGAGGCAATCCCTTCTATTATTTGCCTTATCATGGCTCCTCAGCGCTGTCATTGCTGTTGAAAACAACCTGATTGACCTGCAGCCTCTTCCCCGACATGTTTGGGACAAGGATGCTTTGCGCAAGAGAGATGATCCCGCTGGAAGTGTGGCACTACAGGACCATGAGCAGTTCATGTGGACTTCTGGCAACGGTATTTCTTAAATCAACTTTCTGAACTGCGGACTGACCTTGACAGAACCAAACACCAAAGTCACTGCAGTCAGCATGGTTGTTTGGTCCAGACAGGATGAACGCATCCTGGACATGGACAAGATTTCCTTTGCCTTGGACTCGGTCAGCTGCACCGATGGGATGACCCTCAAGTTCAAAAGCAAGCTCTTCTATCTTGCTGCCAAGTTCGCATGGCAGTGGGTGAATTACAACGACATGCGCAGTTTCGTAATGGTCTCCAGCTGGGAGGGATGCGGTACTCCCCGCGAGCGAGACCCCTGGGTGGTCAGCAACGCTGTCTTTGACGACAAGGCCTCAACCGCCAAGCTCGCAGCGACCAAGAGTACTTGGCAGAAGGTATCCAACACGACGGTTCTTGACTTTGGAGATATCGTCCTCGGCCATGAGGGCACCAAGGACAAGCGGTTCCTAGATGTCAGCTTGAACAAGGCCTTTACGCTAGATCTCAGCTCCTCGTTTCCCACTGAGATTGTCAACTGGACCATGAACACCCCGTTCGTGGATGCCAGTCTCGCCATCAATTGTGTCAACTGCGGCACCACAGGCACTCTCGCCTTCGCCGGCCATGTCGAAGCGAGCCTGTTCGGTGGGTTGGAGAAGTTCGAACTGTCCGCTACACCTCGGAACATCGCTGCGAATCTGGACCTGAGCTTGGAGTTCAAAGGTGAGGTTGATTTTGATGGCCTCCCCGCTCCAGGGAAGGAGTGGACGCTGGTGGAGCTGCCATTGCCCAGTGGCTGGCGGGTTCCGGGGGTGTTGACATTCGGACCCAATGTGAAGATCAATGCAGGTTACAGTATTGAATATATTGGAGGCGAGGCATCTGTCACCACAGGAATCTCAGCCAGGGTGCCCGATAGCTCGGTGGCCAAGGTAGATTTGGCCAGCAAGAACCCGGTGACTATCTCGGGATGGATTCCAGAAATCGAAACCAAGCCTCTCGAGATCGAGGCACAAATCCATGCGAGAGCAAAACTCTACACCGAAGTTGCGGTGGCGGCCAGCATTGAAGTCTTCGGTATCCAGCGCCCCCTTGTGTCAGATTTAAAGCATGTGCAGCTGACAGATTTGCAGACAATGGGCTGAACGTCGAAGTGGGCATCAAAGTTCCCGATATTACAGTGACTGCGGCCGCGGGATACAGTGAGCTTTTATCTGAACAGGTATCTTCAAGTACTGACTCTATTATCAGATGTAGCCGGCTTCTGCGCCAATGATCCCAACAAACCGTACGGAGTCAAGCTGGATGCCGCGCTGGGTGCCAGTCTGGGGCTGCAAGGCTACACAGAGGTGAAGGGGGAACGGGACGTGTTCCTGGACGTGACTTTGTACGAGACACCGACGCTGTACACGTTCCCCCAGCTCTGTCTGGCTGCTGGAGAAGAGTCTCCCGGAACCTGCATTCCTCAGTCAGACCCTCTGGATCCCGACGATGGGGTCGCTCCGGGCGTGCTTCGGAGAGATACCACAAGCTCAGTCGCGCTCTCGAGACGGGATGCAGACAGCGCCTTTTACCAGGGTCGGGATCCATATTACCTCGCATGCGACGAGGGCCGCACGAAACAGATCTGGGTGCAAAAGTATCAGCGCCCCTCGCGACTGAGGAACAATGCTGCAGTCCCGATTATCCAGCCGGGAATGTCGTGCAGTAATAGCCCGCAGAACCAATGCCCTGCTAGCACCTGGAATATCAAGGAGGTTCCCAAGGATGACCGGGCTGGCGTGACAAGACAAGGATGGGCCTGTAAGTGCCTTGACCTGGTACGCACAGAGACAAACTGACGAAAATAGCGGAACATATCTATGAGGGCAACTGGGTCCGTGACTTTATCGACTATTTGGTGAAGAATTATTATCCAGCGACGATCGAGGATCCCACCGTCCAGGACAACACTAAATGCAAGGGAGCGATGAACAGTTTTGGCATCCAGCGCGATATCAGCACGCCCAATCCTACCGTCGCGTTTAACTACTCGGAGGCGTTGATGCAGAATCTGGGCACCGTCCATACGGCGTCAACGCTTATGGCGATTTTCCCCAACAGACAAAATGGCATGAAATATTCTGTGAGTTTCATGAAGGTTGACCAGGCACGCCGTAATGACTGACTCCCGGCAGATGTTCGCTGGTAATGATATCGATGCCAAGTTCAAGACGTCCGACAAGAATACCAACCAGCGAGTGTGCTCTCTTGGACGCATCGTCACCATCTGTCAGTATATGAATCATGGAGAGATTCGGACTCGCATGAAGGCCACCATCGCGGCCATAGACGGTCTTTTGTCAGTCTTCTCTCAATTCCTTTGTTCGCTCCATGTTAACCCTTTAGCAGAGACAAAATGCAACAGGATGTCAACATCTACCTCCCAAGTCCTCTTAAAAGTGAGACCCTCAAGACGGCCCACGCCAAGTTCTTTGAGGAGAAGTACAGAGGGGGGTTCCGCAATGCTCGGAATCGACTCCAAGACTATGCCAGCTGGCTTCAGGGTCAAGCTGGATTCGGAGATCTCGATCAAGCCACGAAGGATGAAGTGGCCAAGCTTGCAAGCAATCCCGAGGCTCATTGCAAGGAAATATGGCCCTTGTAAGGATCAGGTTGCCCAGTTTATGGAGAAGATGTTGATATGTTATATATTTGTCTTCAAATCTGTCCTCTTGCGCCAGTAGTTCGATTGGATTATTCTACAGTTTAGACGAGCCACAAGGAAGATCCCAATATGTGTGATACAACAAACACAATCACTTGTCATCTATTCAATGAATGCTTGGACGAGTATCTCAGCAGTGACTGGTTTAGGATCCTTTGCGATTCTTTCCACCAATGTAGCGAGTCGAATCAAGGCCATTTATCGAAGAGACTCGTAGCAGAAAGTCGGAGAGCTCGGGGTTGGTCGTGCTGATGGCAGTTAGACACGGCCAATGCTACACTTGGAAGCATACACACGTCTGATCCCTTGATCTTTCCCATTTGGCAGGTCTATCTCCCTCCTGGTGCGGATGCTGGTCCACGAGGAACTGGGACCGACCCCGGCTTGAAGACTCGGGAGTCTCGTCACTCTCGTGTAGCTTGCCGTTTTCAGACATGGTCCGTTAAGACAATGATATAGATGCTCATTAGAAATGTCCACAAGAAGAACAGCACCGTAATACCTCTGGTATATGGACAACTTTGAAAAAGGAGCATTATCGGACCGATGACTTCACCATCCATCAGGTTCCCCTCCGAACTGCCTATTCGGGACACCCCACATTTATGCTCGGTTGTGCAACTTGTGCTAACTAAAGTTAACTAGTTAACTAACTAGTTAGTTAGTTAACCTAACGTAATCCACGGCCGAGTCGTCCACACGGCCGTCCCGTCCATTTTCGCGCCCATCTGCTGCAGATTTGAAGCCTTTCAACCCCCAACATCATTAAATTAGACTATTAAGTAGCTGAATATATAGCTATTTATTAGGACAACTCCTTATAGTATGTCCAACAGTCCAACATCCACTGCAGCGTGGTGCAGCGCGCTGACGAGATATAGGTGTGGGCTCATCAACCTGCTCAACAAGTGGCA